GTCCCGACCCGAAACGTCAACTATCCTGCTCCTCTGATGCTGCCTGGCCTGCTGTGTTCCTCCAGCTCCACACTGTGTTATCTCTGACTCCAGCATCTGCCGTTCTTACTATCTCTATTGTCCAGGTCTTGTTGCATTTGGACATGGACTGCTCCAGTATCTGAGGAGTTGTGAATGGTGCTTAATGATGTTGAATCAACGGCAATGACCCTCACTTCTGATGGAGGGAAGGTCATTGATGAAACAGTTGAAGATGGTTGGGCCTAGGACACTATCCTGAGGAACTCCTGCAGAGATATCCTGGAGCTGAGATGATTGACCTCCAACAACCATGACTATCTTCCTATGTGCCAGATATGACTCCAACCAGCAGAGAGTCCCTACTCCTAAGTCCCAGTGACTCTGGGTTTCCTTGGGCTCCTTGTTGCCATGCTCAGTCTAAAGAGGTCTTAATGTCAAGGGCGGTCATGCTCACCTCACCACTTGAATTCTGTTTTTAGTGTAATCATTTCAGGAGATCCTCTTCCTGTTTTCTGTTGCTACTGTTACTATCCTAATCTACTGCTGAATAATTCAAGTAAATTTAATAATACCGCTCTGATGTCCTTGAACATTTCTGTAAATTCCCTGCAAATTTGCTCCATAGTCTCCTTCCCACAGTTTGTGGCTTCCATTACATGGTGTAATCGCTCTTTAAGGTCCTCTGTTCCAACCAAATAGGATCTACCTTACACCCTAAAGTACATCCATCTACTCCAGTGCAATAAGAGTTTTTTGGATCAATATTATCACAATATGGCCAATTCTCCTTCCCTATCATTCTGGAATACCTCTTTGCTGAGAACATTATCACCCTAATCTGCATTGAGCCAGGTCTGATATTTTTAACCTTTTATCATAATCCCATCTGCTGCACACCAATATTACTTAACACACTACACAACTTCTAACTTCCAAACCCTAACCCTAACCCATCCTGCTGCCAATCGCACAGGCAAAGCAGCGTCATGGTGCTTCCATTGGGCTACTTCTCAAAAGTTTAATACAAACCAGCTTTGCAGCAGCAACACCAAGATATTCATCAAACCTGCAGAATAAACAAAACCTATGATGTACAATGTCTCATGAATTTGTGCTGAAGTGATGAACCAAATCAGCTGAACAGTGTTTGTTAATTTGAAATATGGTAAGAGTATTTGAACAGAACAGCTGTGTATAAGAAATAGCCATTTAGTCCATCAAAGATGGTTTCTCCAGGGATCTAATTGCAACCATTAAATTGTCTCTGTTGCTGTATTTCAAATTTAATTTTGAGCAGTTGCTGATTTTCGAACAAAAATATTCTTCCTAATATACCTGTTTAAAAGCCTGATTTCCACTAACTAAATTAGTACACTGTATTTCCATTGCCTGGAGGAGGTTACGGCCCAATGGTATTATTACCAGACTATTAGTCTAGAGACCCAGGTAATGTTCCGGGGACCCAGGTTTGAATCCTGCCACAGCATATGGTGGAATCTGAATTCAATAAAAATCTGGAATTACAGAGTCTACT